AATAAGTTGATCTAATGTTATTAAATACAACTTTTTATTGACAATGATGATAGATATTTAGTTTAGAATAGTCAGCCCCATCACTGTTGTAAAAAATTGGAATGTTCAGTAATAGTGACAGTTCTTCTCTACTCATATATTAATGACTTAATAATTATGAATATTCATTTACTAATGTTAACAGCTACTTAATAAAAAATTTAATAATCTAAATAAATACAACTAAATACAACTATTATATTCCAAAAATAACTTCAAGTTAGTCAGAATATTTATCAGAAATTAGGAAAAATATTAATTAAACTATAATTAAAAACAAAATTCCAAGAGCTTAGCTTTCACTCATGATTACGTACAAATAATAAAATCTATTATAAATATAATAATTATACACACTTTGGATAGACATTTTTAAGCACTTCTACCAGATGGGTCCTTTAACACTCAAAACTGTTCATTCATCACTAATATTTTTCAACACATACAAGTTAATTAAAATTGATATACTTCAGCCTAAGTAGCTGCAAGTGATAGAAACTGGCCTTTTAAGGACTTTCCCAGTATTATAAATATTGTTTATTTTTGAAACAGGCCAGTTTATTATTCCAGTCTTTACACTGCAAGAGTGGTTTGATTTATAGTTGAGGTGTGTACCAGTATCTGCAAGTTTCCTGTTATATACGAGTTATGCGACTTGGTAATCATCATACCTAGGAATGGGAGTTTATCATTTTCTATCTTCTTTAATGTTAATGAATTCTTGAATCTTCTCTTTAGTGTGTGTGGCCATCTTATGAGTGTATCATCAAAATACCTGAGCCAAATACTAGGATTTAACATAGCTGTCTCAAATTGTTTTATGTACTGGTGATAAGGGGTGAGCCCATCACTAGACCATCTTCTTGTCGGTAGTATTTATCTTCATGTTGGAAGTATATTGTGTTAATACAGAAGGTTGTGAGCTCTATTATCATGAAGATTATCAGTTGGGTTTGTATCATTTTCAAGCTGTTTGTAGAAATTTGTAGTATTTTAGGGGTTGGTATGTTGGTGAATTGGTTGGATACATCAATGTTAATCATTGTATCTTTTGAAGTTACTGTTTTTTTGTTATTATTTTATAATCTCTACAGAATGGACTGAGTTCTTCACATGTGAAAATGTTTTACCTCTTAGTCATGATACTTCATCTAGAAGACATCTATCTAAATAATGACATGGTGGATCTTCGCAGTTAACTAAGTGAACCACAGATAGGCAGGGTGATGCTAAGGTACACTATCAGATGTTTGATTGTTTCTGTTCCATGTTCTGATATATCATGAGGAGTTGATTTTCCTCTTTCGCTCAAAGCCTGAGATAGACTTCATCTTCATATAGTGACTAACTTCTACTAAAGTTTGGAGCTTCATGACATATTCCTCTTTTTCCCATGATTAAAGTGGGATTATCTTTGTATGTAGATATAATTGTTACATATTTGCATTTCTTTAAGTTTCCAAGGGCAGTTTTTTCTGCTAAAGTAATATCTTATAGGGGATTTACATTTTTAAGTCTTTTGGACTGCTGAGTTTATTCTAATTCTGCTTCTTTTTTCTGTAGCAACTTATATGTCATTGCAACAACCTTCCTGTAAACTGAGTATAAGAAAACTTTTGAAAATTTAAACTTTTTTTTTGTAAGCTATTCAGAAATGTTAAAATCTCAACACATAAAAAAAGTAATGCTGAAATAAATGCAAGAATTTTAAGTAATTTACTTACATCAGTTACATAATGTGCTTCATCAACTCCATATCTGTCTTTGAAGAATTCTAATGAATGAAGCCTGTGAATCAAGACAAAAAATTAGTTTGATGTTATTAAGCCTAACAATAACTATGAACAACATGAACATTACTTTCTATTACTTACTCTGATTCTGGATAACTGATTCAGTCAGTCTTGTGACTTAAAATTAAAACTGTAAAAATTAGTTCAATTGCAAAACAAAATAATTTTTATGAAGGAAGAGACAAGATTGTTTAGCTTTCCAACAGGTAGTTAATTTTTGCCAAGTTTTTGGAAAAGCCGGATTAGTTTAACATATTTTTGCTCTGCTTTTCTGTTATATGCAAATATTTCCTAATAAATTACAATATCTGTCTTCACTACTACTTTTCCAGCCAGGTTTGAAGTTGATAAGTATAAATAAGCTTGAATGGTGGACTAAATGAGAATAAGTAATATGTATTTTATAGTACGTAACACAACACAATATCCATGTCCAGTCATTCAATGTTCTAATTTAATTAGTGTCAGTTTATAGAAACATACATGACGAATTTCAGTTCCATTAGATGAGACCATGCAGTACTCTCTGAAATATTAACAAATAATTTTATATGTAATCTTAATACAATCTTTCCCTATTCTACACCCCCTCATACACATCCTGTTTTGCTTCCTAAAAATTATCATCCATCAAGAATTTGTTTCTGGCTTAATTGTAAAAGTTTGGGCTCAAGACAAATAAGGAAGGAAAGCACAACAGAATGCTCGTACTTGCCCATCCACACAGCATATGACTCTGGAAGCTTTGGAACAAAAAGATGAGATTTTCCAGTCTTGACTTCAATAGCCCCATAACAATCTGGTTCAATCACCCCAAAAGTCCAGTGAAAGTACGATTCCTGTAAAGGGGACAAAATAACTTGTATAACAATAATTTAGAAACTCTCAATACACAGGTTAAGTCAAAAAAGGCTATGATACTATATGAATAAAGTAGCATAAAATACCCAAAAAACAGATAATTGAAATATAAGTAAACATAACAGCTTAAGAGAAAGAAAGAGAGTTTAATTCTATTTCAGGAAGTTTGTCACAAATAACAAAAATGAACATAATGTTATAACATAGTTATTTTTTCATGGATTCTTTCAAATTATGATGTGAAAATATTATAATGTCCAATCTACTTAAGGAGACAGTTTATATAAGCTTAAACCACTATCATAAATTGTTTAGGCCCACATTAACAAATGACTATTCCTCTCTAACAACGGTACTAATACTAACCTACAATCAATCGACTCATTTGTAAAAAGTAGTGCAGTAACTATCTAAATTCTCAATTAACTTGACACTTTATGGAACATTGTCTTTATAATCTACACTTATTCCAGATATTTCTAGGGCTAATTTTAATGTAAGGTCACATTACATTATCAAAAAAATCACACCTCCTTCTAGCTATGAACTAAATTACAACATTGAAAATATATAGCTTACAACAATAATAAGCAAAATATAGAAAAAAATGAATGGAAATTAGGAATCTACATATATATTTGATACTACAGCTTTTTCTAAGATTATTATGCAAGTGACAAGTCTAGAAATTTCTAAACAAAACTTCAAAATGCTAATATTCTCTTTGCAATGAACCTGATACCTTAGAACATGACTCAATATTTGCCCAATACTATCTAAGAAATCATCAAGCAACCTTAACACACACCAGTTTTTAAGTATATCTTGAACTACTTGTTACATGTACAACCTTCAATTTTTTCAAAATACTGAAAAAATATGGAATGAATTATCTTTAGTTCTAAATTTATACAAACATTTCATGTTTCTTAATACTCTGTGGGAGCCAGTTATTAATGGTAAATGGGTATATCAATACTCAACATTTACGATGAAAAACACAAAAACCATATTTAAGTATTGAATGCACCTTATTTTTAAAGTGTAAAAAGAAACTTATTTAAAGTTATAAAATTATCAAAAAGCAACAGACATCTTGATATAAGATAATTTTTCAAAATAATTACTTAAAAGACTAACTACTTTCTACACATAGATTAAATCCCTGTAAATTGACTCATGTAGGAACCCATAAAATTGAGTACTTCATTATCTATTAAGCTGGAAATTATTCATCATATCTAGTACAAAGACAAGTCTCCATTATGGCAATCAATAGTGTTGATGTACTTGGTTTATTCAGCTTTTGGTGTATAAATTGATACAACTATAAATATATATATGCTGCTAAAAGAGGATAATAAACACAATTTCAATTGAGAACATGAAGAAAAGATAGCAATCGAGGACGACTCAGTAGGCATTACATTACACAGTGGAATGATTCATGTCAAATATTCTCGTAAAAAATGTAAGAGGAAACAAAATAAATCAAGTGATTTACATATCATCATAGCATTGAGGACATATCAGAATATTGAATATGACTTTAGCTCCATCATACACATGACCAGATACACATAGCATACCAATGCACAAACATGAGGTCTCTCAGATTTCTCCCCCAAAAAAAGTCCTCAGTTTTTTAGTCACCAACTAGAATATGGGTAATCATACTGTTTTCCTTGTTTAACATCCTTCACAAGTTACGGGAGGTATGGTTATTTTGATCACAAGTAACTGATAAAACTTGCAACCAAACCTAACTTATTCAACAAACTGATAAACTCTAAGGTGAAGATAAACTGATGAATGTAAAACTATAACTTATCAGCTATTGTGTAGCAGCACATACAGTTCACTCCCCACATTTGTTTTCTGAACACAATACACATTTTTAATAAAGTTTCAAGAAGTACAAGATAAGGTTATCACAGGAGCTAAACATGATAACTGTTGTTCAGTTTAGGTTTATTAATCCTTTTAAGTAGCAGTAGTGGTGGTGGTAAATAAAATATAACAAATGACTTAGAAGCTTAATACTGTTGCTCAGAATTATTTGATATATATATATATATAAATAACATATATATCATGCTCTTGCAGCATCTACAACATAAGTACCAAACATTTTATTTATTAAAGGAACAGCAGAGGACCTAAAACATTACAAGAAGTCTCCCAACTTGACAAGTTAATTACAATAGTAATATCCCTTTACCAAAATAGTCAATAAAATCCTAAACTTGACACATACTTGAAAATTTACATTGAAATGTAATAAATCACTTTGCCTGAATTATAATAGAAAAAGAAATAAGGAAGAAAACTTCTATATTAATAGGCAAAAGTGTTTTGGGGGAGGCAAATGTAAATAGATTTCAAAAAACTGCACTGAAAAACAAACAAACATTATCCATAAAACTCAGTACGATTATAAAGTTTGTTAGAGAATTGTTCTCCTGTCCCATATAACTGATAAATTCAGTTGCTATGTTGAATTGTAATAATCTTAAGAGAACATCTTAGTTTGATAACTTGTAAAAGGTTTTGACAAAAAAAAATTTGTTTTCACTGTCTTCAAGTATTCTAAATTTCCTACATATTGATGTCTCTATTAAAACAAAAAGATAAATGGGTCAAGCAACAAAGCAGAATAGCATGTACGGAATATAAGATAAAAAATTAATTTACAAACAGTAGTAAGTGCTGTATTTTGGTTTTGTTTTTCAATCTAATACAAGTCTCATTTAATAAATAAGTAAAACAGCAAAATCTGGAAAAAGTCTAAATAAATCTGACAAGTGATCCTGATGCTATTATATGTGTAGTTACTACTGGAATTTAGATATTTCTAAATCAAGATTTAGGATAAAGATGCACTAAAGAACAATTAGATAAAAAAAAGTAACTTAAAGCACCTGGGATGACTTCTGTATTATTTGAGAGACAAAGAGTAAGTGGAAAGAAAACAAGATAAACTGTAGTACATGTAGCAGTATTTGGAGGGTAAAAACAAGCTGGATTAAAATCAGATTTCTGATATTAAGTAGAGTGCTACCATTGGTAGATTAGCTGGTAGAGCACCAAGGGTTTTATAACTTGGTAAATATCCTTGAAATCCCACACCTTGACTTTGGCTTATCATGTAAGTAGTTCATTCCATTTGTTTTGAGAGCTCACATACACATATTGTACATCTACAAACACTACTTAAATTGTTATTATAATACGTACTTGGAACACGACACAATAAATCATTACAGCAATTCTTACTAATACAACTATGTCCATGGAGTAATTAAAGTGTGTGTACATGTGTATCTATACATTCCCACAACTCACCTAGAAAAATTAGCATTACTATTATTTCAAAAAATAGTAAGCCTTATTATTAAAGTTCCCAACAAAGAGAGAGGCCTTCTCTAAATGTAATTAAATACAAATTTTGATATATATTATTGTTGAGCCACCACCAACACTTGTAAGTTAATTTCTACATAACACTCAAACTTCTTTCAGAAAACTTAATGTCCTCATTACATGCAATTCACACTCTTAAATGGCCACAAGCTGCATTTTGATTGTTATTGTGGCCATAGTACTTCTGGACTTCAAAATACCAAAAAGAAATTACCCTAGAAAACATGTGACAAGGATAAGAAAAATGTCAACTAAGTTCAAGATTAGCTATCTGCACACACTATGTAAATACATGCACCAACGTACTTAAAAGTGCAAAAGGTTTAGTGAACAGGTGAATGTTCACACTTTTAAACTAAAATAAAGAAACACCTAGTAGTTTTTAAAATACTACATTATTTCTTCCTTTACTTTTAGAATCTCCTTAACTTCAAATCCAATATACAAGTAGAAAGTAAATTTAAAAATTGTAAGCC